TTAAATGGCCTGATCTTAAAGTGAACTAAGGACAGATTTCATTTTAAATGACAAGAAAAGTGTTGACATAAGGCAAGTGAGGGATTCTCTATCCTTGAGTAAGTACAGTGTGGTACTTGTGGCTTAGAAGTAGGATTCATTTTCTTCAATGTGTTTCCAGAGGAAATTAATCACACCAGAAATCACTTGTATAATCATTTGTGGAAAGCATACAATTGCATATGTAATTTTCTACCAAGCAAACCTCAGTTGGCATTTCTGATCCCTTTGGTTCTCTTCCTCAGTGTCTCGTGTGATATAATATCTCTGCTTCTCTGGCCCACACCACTGCTTTTCTCCGTCCAGGTTTCTACCTCATAGAGTCATCTGTCCTCCATTCTTCCCATCTGATTTTTATTATGCAGGGCAGATGGCTGAATAGCCTTAATTATTGAAGTACACTGAGTGTTCCAACTTAAACCTTCATTTACTCTCATGGGGCCTTTCTTCTGTGTGAAGGTGGGTCTCTATGTGGAAGTTCCAGTGAATATTATTTTCCTTCTTCTTTTTAAATACACTAATGTGCAAATGTGTAAAATAGTTTGCTTAATACGTGTGTCTTTAGTTTAGCTTGGAGCATGTTCGGAACACCCAAGTACTTGAAGTGTCTTGAACATGAAACTGTATGGACTAAAACCATGATGCTATTAACTTTTGTCATTAAGATACTGTGTGGCACATGACTTTGGCTTAAGTGAGTGATTGGCATGTAGCTCCTTGCTCATAAGAATCCTAAGGTGGGGCCCAGTGCAATAGCTCTGTGGCTAAATCCTCATCTTGCAGTTGCCAGGATCCCGTATGGGCGCCAGCTCATGTTCCAAATGCTCCCCTTGCTATCTAGCTCCCTGCTTGTGGCCTGGGAAAGCAGTCGAGGATGGCCCAATTCTTAGGACCCTGCGCTCGTGTGGGAGACACGGAATAAGCTTCTGGCTCCTAGCTTCGGATTGGCTCATCTCCGGTGGTTGCAGGCACCTGGAGAGTGAGCCAGTGGATGGATCTTTCTTTGTATCACCTCTGTCTGTAACCTTGCCTTTCCAATAAAAGTAAATAAATATTAAAAAAGAAAAAAAATAGCAACAGGAGAATACTTAAGGTGTCCCTGCTGTGATTACCAATGCTTTGGATTTATTACTGCTATAGCAAAAAAGAAATTCTTCCCTGGAATTCTGTTGTAGTATGCTCTGTGAAGGCAGAAACTTTGGTATGTACAGTGCTATCATGGTTCCTGACCAAGCGTGCAACATGAAAATTCAATTAATAAATGAGTAATACAGGTTGAAGTCTTCATTAGTCAGGATAGTCTAGGTTGTGCAACAATAACAACTTCCACATTTCAGTTGCTTACACAAACAACTTTTTCTTATTCACTATGTGCAACTGTCCTGGTTTGGCACAGGACTAGGGGTTTGGCTCTCCTCATCTTAGGTTCTCAAGGAGCCAAAATTAAACAGTCCCTGTTCCAGGAGCAAAGAGATCTGGAGGATGTGACTTCAGAGATGGAGTACTCCAGTGACACCATAAGTTCTACTAACATTTCATCAGTCAGGATTTTTAAAAAAGATTTATTTTATTTTTATTAGAAATTCAGATATACAGAGAGAAGGAGAGGCAAAGAGAAAGATCTTCTGCCAGTTGATTCTCTCCCCAATTGCCTGCAATGGCCGGAGATCACCTCTAATCTGAAGCCAGGAGCCTGGAGCTTCTTCTGTGTCTCCAACACAGGTGCAGGGTCCCAGGGCTTTGGGTCATCCTCGACTGCTTTCCCAGGTCACAAGCAGGGAGCTGGATGGGAAACCTGGCCACCAGGATTAGAAGCAGCATCCATATATGATTCTGGCACATGCAAGGCGAGAACACTGGCCACTAGGTTACTGTGCCGGGCTCCATCATTCAAAATTTTATCTACACAAATAGAAATGGATCAGAAAATGTAATCTCAGCACGGTCAGAGGGTGGAAAGGTCCAGTGAGTATGGAAAGTATGAGAGCAATTTTTATCTGAGATAGTAAAAGGATTAAACATCCTTAAATATCAGTGTCATGGTTACATTAAAGGACAAATGATCATTAAGTGCAGTGTACTGTAAGGTATTCAGAAAAGTAAAAATTGAACTAAATTGGTATTTTTGTTTCATGTGTAGAATGTCGCTTAAGGCAACTCTTTTTTCCAGTCTTTTTTTTTTTTAATTTTCCATAATGTCTCTCTGATTATAGTAACCTATTAGTCAATATTCCTAGTATATTAAGTAGAATTGAATTGTAGATAAGTAACTGGGTGGACCCTTAGCTTGATCTCTAGAAATGGAAAGAATAATGGTTTTAGTTTAAAAAATGGTGGCCTTTATGAACCTTCTTTCATTTTAGTTCATTAGCACAGTATAACAATCAAAAGCAGTAATGGGCAAAGAGTACCTTCTTCACTTTCATAATTCAAGTGCCTGGTGTAATCTGTACCTTTAGAGAAGGTAACTAATAACGTTTTTGAGTGTCTTGATGCTAAATAAACAAGAAAATGCACTGTTGTTAATTATTATTCGTCCATTAAGTATTTTATCTGTGGATTTAAGAGATGGGTTGTTGAGCCAGACCATTGAGACTTGAAATCTGTTGTATTACTTAGTAATGTATTACTTGGAACAAATTCTTTTACTATCCTGTTTTCTCTCATTGCCTATTTATGAAATAGAGATAATAATAGTTATCTTATGCGATTAGTAAAAAGAGTCAAATTACATTTTAAAAAGCATTCTGCAGTAGAGAGCTATCATACAGTGAAGTGGAGTTTTTTGTTTTTAAAGATTTAATTATCTTTATTGGGAACACAGATTAACAGAGGGAAGGAGACAAAGATCTTCCATCCATTGGTTACTCTCCAAGTGGCTGCAGCAGCCGGAGACAGTCAGAGCTGAGCCAATACCAAGTTAGGAGCCAGGAGATTTTTCTGGTTCTCCCATAAGGAGATTTCCCAGGCCACAGGCAGGCAGCTGGATGGAAAGCAGAGCAGCCAGGACATGAACCTGCACTCATTTGGGATCCCAGAGGCATCCAAGGTGAGGATATTTTTTTAAAAAAGATATATTTATTTTATTTTGAAGGCAGATTTTACAGAAAGAGAAGGAGAGACAGATAGAGGTCTTCCATCCTCCGGTTCACTCCCTAAATGATGGCAGTGGCTGGATCAGAGCTGATTTAAACCCTCCTCCGAGTCTCCCACATTGTCTCAAAGGTCCACAGAATGGGATCAGAAGTGGAGCAGCCAGGGCATGAAATGGTACCCAGATGGGATGCTAGCACTGCACGCAGAAGATTAGCATTCATGTCACCACTCTGGCCTCAAGGTGAAGTTTTAATAAACATTAGCTTTTGCTACTATGGTTGTTCTTATCTTTATACCAGAGAATTACTATAAAGTTTTGTGTTTACTAGCAAAACAGTAATGAGCTACAAAGATGTGAAGTACCAGTTAGAAGTTTGGCATTTTTGTGTTTAACTGCAAAAGAAACATCTTCTGTTGTTTTGAAATCAGTTTACTAGTAAGTTTTCGTAAACTGTTGTTTCACTAAATAAAGCGATGACGTGTAGTTTTGTACACATGGAAGTCCATGAAGAAAGCCAGAGGACTATGAAGTATCCTTCATTCTCTTAACTTTGTGTCATAGGAGAATGCATAATGACTTCCAGAGATTCAGTATGTCAAACCTTTCTTGTGTAACATGTTTGCAAAAGGCAAGAGACTATTTTGATGACTTTTGAGAAGTTTTATGGAAAGAAATCTTACAACAATGACTTCCATTTTAAAAGCAACACAAAAGAAGAAATGTTTGATCTGTGGTAGAGGAATGAGGATCATAAAACTTCCATTTTATATTCTCCTTTGTCACCAAGCACTTAACACATAGTAGGTACTTCACACATGATTTACATAGCAATTTGTTGAGCATATCAGATACCTACTACTAATGTAATCTGTAAATGGAAACTAAGATAGATGTTTAACTTAATGATTAAAATACCCACATCTGATGTTAGAGAACCTGGGTTCAATTTTTGGCACAAGGTCCTGCTCCCAGCTTTGTGGAAATGAGCACTTTCGTGGGCAGGAGTACTGGCTTAAATGGTGTTTCTGCCACCTGTGTGGGAGATTCAGCTTGTGTTTCTGGATTTCAGCTTTGGTCTACCTACTCCTAGCTGTTGCATGCATTCGGCGGTGAAGCAGTGAATGAGATCTCTGTGTCTATCTCTCTGTCTCTCTGCCTCTCGGGTAAATAGAAAAAAAATTTACATGTATCACTGAAGCATAGATGGGATAACACTAAAGAAACGTCTGAGACCATAGTACTAGAAATGGGACTCTGAACTTCTGAGTGCCCCCCTACCCCTATCCCAGCATTATTTGAAGGACAGCAAAAAATTTTGAAAGAGCCTTGGGCATATTTCTGCATTCAAAACCAGTTTCAATACTGAAAATGCCGTGTTTTTATTTATGAAATACATTGCAAAAGCTCAGTAGATTTTTATTGGGTGAATACACATAAACATCCCTTATTGTATTCCAGCTTTATTCCCTTCTCAGACTCAGCTGCCAAAGCAGTCAGCAGACAGAAACTGGCACAAACCTAACCATAATTGTGTTTAACTTGCTGGCTCAAAGAACACTGAGAAGCAAGAAATGGCTTCTGCTTCACTTTCCTGTTTACTGTTAGAAGTCTAACACCATTAATACTATCAATATTTTGCAGATTGCTTTTTAAAAAATTTTTCATTTTGCTTCCTGTCTATTCTTTTGACAAATAAATGATATCAGTAAAAGTTGTAGCAGACTCCCTCAGGCAGGATGGGGTTAAAGCACTGCTTGACTTGTTGGAGAGTTGTGGGCAGGTATCGCAATTCGCTGTAGCTGTAATAGAGGGTAATGTCACTTTAAGACATGTGATACTTTAGAGAGGAGGGATGTATTGAAACAGACTACTGCTACTTACAGCACCGTACAGCAGCCCTGCTCTTACCCTGCACTGCCTTACTCTGCCCTGGATGCACTGGAGTGGGGATGGTCCAGCAGTAGCTCAACTGATTCCCATCTGGAAACTGCACATTCTCTCACCACCACTTCAAAAGTCTCTTCAGGCAGAGGTGACGCCAGGAGATTATTTAAAGGTGAAAATGACAAGGTTTCTACCGCTCAAACCCTGGCTCCTTTTCTGACAACAGTCTGAATGAACCTGATGTCTTCTTTACCGTGGAAATAGGACTGGAAGAGGAAAACATACTCATTTTTAAAATCTTGATAAAGAAAATTGTTGGGAATCTAGCTTTTTTTTTTTTTTAATCTGAAATTGTGACACAGATGGATTTTAAAAAGTGTTAGATCTTTCCAATGAACACTACTAGAGTACTCTTCTTTTGGCTGGATTTTTCAGGTAAGAAGTCTCTTTCCAGATTTCAGATTCAGAAAGCAAATCTGAAACAGACTCAGTGAAACCTTGAGAACTATGCAAGGCTGGCTGCTTTATTTGGGGAAAACACTTATTAACATTGAGACAACCTCTCCATTAGAGAGGAAGCCGTGAAAGCCAGACACAGGAGTGTGTGAATTAAAGAAAGTTAAGTGGGTGGACAAAGAGAAGAATATGGGAGGTGGGGATACTGCCAGTATCACATCACAGTCATCTTCTTGGGTGCTAAGATACATGTGGGTGAAAAAACGAGCGAAAGGAAGCAGAGTCACTGAAGAACTGTTCAGATTTGATTGGGATATGCTATTTTTCCCTTACGTTTATTTTAATGATTCCCACGGCATTTTAACTGTGATTCACAAAAAGTAAATGCATGCACCAGTCATTCTGTAATTTTTATAATTTTCAGAGTGGTTCTGAAAAGGCTCCAAAAATGCATTCACAAGAGGGGTGCCTCTTTTTCTCTTGACTGAAAGAAATGCAGCTACATTATCCTGACAGCTCTGAAAACAATGAGACAAAGTATGTTGTACAGAAAAGTAAATGGTGGGCAGTGAAACTAATTAGAAAGTGACTGATCTTCCCAAATCACAGGCTGGGGCAGGAATGGCACCATGCTGTCAAAAATAGTGCTTTCCTACTCTGTACTTAATTATAGTTGTCAGTCTTTATCTACAATAGTCCTCAAACCCTTCCCAAAGACTGTATCATTCTCCTGAAACCCACAAATTACCCAGTGTTATGTGTATATATGTGTATGTAATGTGTATTTTTGCTTTCTGAACATAACGGCTTTTGAAAGAATGCAAATTTCCATGAATCAAGAAACCACGCTGGGAGGTCACTCCTAGCTTTTCCTTGTGTAATTGAAAATCTTGAAGGGGGATGATGTATCAGTGCAAAGGAACAACAACAACAAAAAACCCATCTCAAGTCTAAAGCCCTCTGTCTACCTAAGAGAAAAGCATGTAGTCGTGTCGATTCCTCCTGTAGATAATGCCTCCTTACCACTGGCTGAATAAGGATGATGTTTCAAGTTTGATTAATTTGGCAATAGGAAATGCAGTATAAGGTGTTGTTTGAGAAATTGGACAATATGCAGCGCAGTTGAGCCTCTGTAGCTGCTAAGATCCACAGAGGTGCAGAAAAGATTTTCAAAGTTTCAGTGCCTGAGAAAAGGTATATGTTCATCCATAAATATATACACCACCTGTACATGCATATTCATTAACACCATGCAAGAAATGCTGCTGTGGAGTCTGAGGAGGCAAAGCAATATTGTAAATTGTGGCTTGCTCTAGGACAGGGGCATAGATCTTGCCTCTGGAACTCATTCTGGTTCAAGACAATTCCTTCTGACTTTAAGTCCAGCCAAAAGGATCGGTTCTATCAGAAGATGACAGCATGCTGCTGAAAACTGATTACTTAGTTTAGAAGACAGCCTTGAATTAAAGATTCATGAATGTAGAATTTAAAAGAACACACACACACACACATACACACACTTTCCTTCCAGGCTTATGTCAGACTTGAAATGAAGTTAGAATGAACAGAGTGTAGCTTTTTGATGCCTGGCATAGCTATGAAAATCCATGTACAAAATAGAATCTTGAACCAGCAAATAATGCTTCAAACTATTTAAGACTGAAAAAGTTTATTTTTGTATTTTGACGATCCTTGGAGTTTTGTTATATGGAATTTAAAAATGAATTTATGATGTCCTAGAATAGGTTTTCTGTCCCAGTTTGTGGCATGACCTCTGCTGATCATTAATTCTAGCTGGAGAAGTCGCCAAGAACATGACGTCTGAAACCTTCCTTCCTGCAACAGCGGAGCTGACTGAGCTGGGGACTTGAGGCGGGGGTAACCTTTCCTGTCTGATGTTTTCTTTAGAGGATGGCCATGGTGTCGGCGATGTCGTGGGTCCTGTACTTGTGGATAAGTGCTTGCGCGATGCTGCTCTGCCAAGGGTCTCTCCAGCACACGTTCCAGCAGCACCACCTGCACAGACCAGGTAAGTGGGGAGCTGGCTCCAGGGCAGCTTCCTCCAGTCTCACCACTGGCTCCTTGACAGATGGTCGAATGCAAGTGATGGGAAGTGGTGGAGTCCTGGCAGCTTGCCTGTGGACTCCAAGCCATATTGCTAACTGGATGCTTTAGGGGTGGGGGTGAGTACTGAAATACCTTGGATGTGTTTCTATGAATGTCTTCCTCACCTGATTGATTTCCCATCCACTTCTACATCCTTGAAAAGTTGAAGTCATCTGTTAGGGATGCTTTAGCCAATAGCAGAAGGTACTGCAAAACGTGGGGGTAACTTTAAAAACTTGAACAGTCTGTAGGGGGGCAAAAACTATCATCTTTGTGTGTCTGTGCTTGGGATTCACTTTTACCTGGAGTGTTTACTAAATTTCCGTATGGTGACTAGGGATTGTGTGAAGTTGTCAGGCTCCAAACTTTGGAAGCAAGTTGTTCGTGCAAAAGAAATGAAAAGGTCACTTACTATTGCTGGTCTGGTTTAGTGGGCCTCCTTTTGTTTCTCAGTTCCTTCACTTTGTCCATGCAATGTGCTCCAGTCGCTTTTGTTTCCCCTCTCAGGCAGTTGCAAAGAACGACTCCCGCTTGGTTTTTTCCCCCTGCTTTTCTGTTTATTTTTTCCCACAAGGAAATTTCAGTTCCAAATGCAATTTGTTTTCTTCCGTTCCCAGTCTTCATTCCGTCGTGGCTCACGCTTTCATTTGGTTCTTTCGCTGTTCTTGTACCTGTCCAGCCTTTTCTCTGTAATGTCCCTCCCAGGAAAGAGGGGGAGGGTTGCTTCCATTTTCTGTTTAGCCTTTGCATTGCATGCATCACCTTCAGTTCTACCCCAGCCCCGATTCCGGCCACAAACCTTCCAACCTTGGCCTCCAGGGACCAGCTGTGCGCCAGGATCCTCAGTTCCCAAAGCGTCCCAGCTCGCCCTCCCTGTCTCCAGTTCCCGCCAGGCCTCCTCCTGCGGTGCGAGCCCGGGCTGCTCCACACACAGCACCCTTAAGGCGCCGCTGGTATTCTTGGATTCTGTGTTCAGGCAAGAGGCAGGCTTGGCAGAGCACGGGTGCAGTCCCACCTCCCGCGGCGTGTCCGCTTCGCGCTCCAAGCTCCGCGTTTCGGCCAGCCTGGTCCGCATTGGAAGAGTAGCGGTTCCGGGCAGAGGGGCGGAGGCGGCCCTGGGTACTGCTGAGGCTAGGGGCTGCTTCTGTCCCGGCCCTGACAGTTCTAGGTGCCTACGCCCTGGGTAGGGAAGGGAAGGGCGGCGGCGCGGGTGCCCCTGCAGGTGGACATGGAAACCGCTCCGCCTGTGCCTGCCCCGCGCCGCCGCTTCTGCCTCGGGCGCCAGACCTGGGCGCTTTGAGGTGGAGAAAAATCGCAGGTAGACTTGAGGGTCGCCGAGTTACCTCCCGTCACCGAAACGCGAATCTATTCTTTGTGGTAAAAAGTTCAGTGGCTACATGGACATATCACGCAAAATCTGCATTCATTGCTATTCCAACAATAGAATAGATCCTGAAAAGAAATTGTCACAGCGAAAACTGTAGGCAAGGGCTTTTCAGGGTTAATGCCATTCATTCATTGTTTGGGTTCACCTTCTGCTACGGAGTGCACCATTTCATTGCTTTTGCCCAGAAACCGAAGTTCTGAGAGGCTGAGTGACTTGTCTGAGACTACACAGCCCACAGCAGCCACTGGGAGGCAGAAGGGTTTGTTTTTATTGCCAGAGTGATGACCGCAGCGGGGTTAGGGCAAGGGGCTGGGGAGGTGGGAGACCCGTTTCTGCGTAGGATGATCGCCCCGGGTAGCCTCAGAAGCAATGTGAGCACCTTTACATGATGTATGCGAACTTTCATTATCTCCGTTCGTGGGCCTGACCTTTGCACTTGAAACTCACTCCAGAAATGACTTTGCAAGAGCTGGTGAGTGACAGGTGGTAAGGAGGCATGGCAGAGCTCAGGACTGGCTACCATTAGGTCACTGTCAGTTAGCAGGGCTGACATGACCTTGAGCAGGTGACTTTGCTCCTCAGAGCCCTGTCCCCCGTGTGCAGACACGGTGAAAGTGCGAGTAGAATAACTTCCGTAAAGTTGACGAGGGTCTCAGGTTCTGCTAAGTATCAGGAATGGCCGTGATCCTCAGTGCGGCGGGCTGCCAACCTCTAAGCCAGGGCTGTTGAATGAATGAAGTTACACTGTTCACACAGCCCATAATCCACATAGCTAGAAAAACAAACAAAAAACTATGTTTTAAATTTTTTTCTCGAGCTCTTTTGTTTTTGAAACCATGTGGTATATGACTAGAACTTACCACCAAATGCTGTGTGTCTTATTTTACACTCTATGCATATAGTCATGAAATAGATACCATGGGCTGTACAATAAGTGTTTGTATTCATTGTTTCCATTCATCAGCTAACATATATGTGGGTTTCTTTTTGTTGGTGGTAATGGCTATTTTAATAAGTCAACTCATGTTTCTGTAAGGCTTGTTACTAAAATCTTGTGATTTTCAACTGAGAAATCTATCAGCAGGTTCTGATTGAAATCTTAATTATTTATCTTTTCTATCGTCTTCCTAAGCATTTGCTTTTATCACCGATGCATTGTTGATCCATAGCCCCAATAAAATTCAGCCTTGACACCACTTTGAATCCAAAGTGCTTTAAGCATTTGAGTTGAGCTCTGTCCCAGCTTCATTGCTGAAATGAAGAAAGCTATAAAAACTCCTTTCTAGGTACAGAAAGTTCAAAATGATATTAAACTGAAAGTCCAATGTTTCTATGCAATAAGTTTATTCAACTTTCTTGGGCTTTCAACAATAGCTACAGAGATTAAAGTGATATATCTTGGTCATAGCAATATTCCAGATTATTTCAGTCAGACTCTTTAATGCAATCTTCTATTTTGATTTTCAGGATAAAAATATGCTTTTGTTGATGAGAGTTGTGACGTTTTCTTTGGAGGGTCTTAAATCTTCAGGGACACTAATGAAATGTGTATGAAAATAAGAGAGAAATCAGGGCCAGTTGTCTGTGACAGTCCACCCTTTAATAAGCAAATAAATAAATAAGTAGCTGGATAAATGAGCAAAAAGGGAAAACATAATCTTATTTTCCTCAATCAGTTAAAACAAGTGACATGATGAGGAAAAATGGGACACCAGCAGACCCCGAGCTTCGCCACATTTGCCTAAGCTTGAAAAATCGCCTCTTTCATAAAACAAGAGCAGGCAGACCCTGTGTGCATACCAAGTATCTGGGAAGTGTGGGACATGACAAACCTTTCACTCAGAGCCCTGAGTGGAGGGAGAGTGAGGCTTTGCAGTTGCCTTCTCACCTGCTTACGAAAGGCTGTGCCCCTCCCGCCGGGCCCCTGGCCTGCCTCTAACTGGCAGCTTGCCTGTCCCCTTCACAGTAAGATTGATAGTGTTCCAATGGCAAGCAGCAATTTCAGTCTCTCAAGAAATAATCCACTACACTGACAGATGAGTGGAATTTGACGCGATGTTCCCCTTGTGCAGACCGCGCTGCACCTGGATGGCACCAGTCTGCCAGGGCTCTTTAGGGGAAATGCTTAGAGATTTGGGCCAGTTTCTGCTGTCATAACATGAGACCGGGACAATGTTTTTTGAGGCTGTGAATTTGTGATCTGTCTTCTCAATGCAGTAGGTTTATACACAAACAGAATGAAAATATGTTAACTAGAATACTGACTGATTTTAATGTATTTGCCCGCAGTCCCTAAGTACTCCCCATTTTTCATATTTATGGTATTGGAAATGCACCATTTATTTTCAGTTACTCACCAGTTAAGGAAGATTAAAACAGTCAATCAATGGAAAGTGAATTTTAAAGTTACATAAAGCAGTAAAATTTGCTATGGATTAACAGATTCTTAATTTCAATAATTTAATATTTGGCTATATCAAGTTTTTGTTTGGGGAATGATGTAGGAAGTTACCATAACAAATTGAAGGATACGTGGGCTTTTATTTTCGTACTGAAAGCAGTAGGGATGACACTTATTTTAAAGACAGAATAAACAATGAAAATTTAAAAGTCCCGTTTTCTTGCTTGAGGTATTTCAAATAGACTGCTTCAGTTCCTTATAATCACTGGTTTTTATGTGATATGTTTAAAAGGATGAATGGTTAAATATAACTTTCTAATTTAGAATTAATATTTTTCTCCCTTAGAATTTATGAATAATGACAGTAGTTTTAATGGTTACTTTATTTTGGATGTGTGGGTGCTTATATGTGTGAAGGTTGTCCTTGAAACTTAATATAGATCATCTAAAAATTTTTTTTTAGCAAGAAAAGATCTTTGTGGTTGTTTAGTAATTTAGGTTTATATCGATAAATTACACTAGACAAATTGTGTCTAATGAATCTGTTTTTTTCTTGAATTAGTATGATTTTAATGACATTGTATGGAAATGATATGCAAGAATATTACACTGAAAAGAATCTTCTATGTATTTTATATTTGATGAAATTTAAAGTTATATTTAGCAAAATATGTATATTAGGGATATGCATTTGTATCTTGATTATTAGCTTTGGAACATCACTATCCATTTTAAAGTACATTAATTTTTTAAAAATAATTGTAAAAAACTTTTAAATGTCTCACACTATTTTTTTTAACCATACCTTCAAACTTACTTTATTGAAAGCTGCCTGAGGAATATACACGAAAATGCCATTCACGATACCAATGGGTTGTTTTAAAATTTTCATGCAAAAGAAATGATGTAAAACAACAGTAGTAGGATATTGGCTTTTTAAGAACACATATCAGTGCTAACTTGCTAATTCTAGTGTGTTGGCCTGAGATTTAGAGCAGACAAGGTGTTGTAATACATCAATTCCTTGACTCGAACTGTAGCTGTGAACATTTGACAGAATCCTAAAGTATGAAAACCAAGTAAATAGAGGAGTAGCTGTCAATCCTTGCACATATTAGACAATTACTACAATGCT